CTGAGGAAGGCTTTCTTATCTCTCCTTGCTATTCTTTGGAACTCTGCATTCAAATGGGTATATCTTTCCTTTTCTCCTTTGCTTTTGGCTTCTCTTCTTTTCACAACTATTTGTAAGGCCTCCTCAGATAGCCATTTTGCTTTTTTGCATTTCTTTTTCTTGGGGATGGTCTTGATCCCTGTCTCCTGTACAATGTCACAAACCTCTGTCCATAGTTCTTCAGGCACTCTATCAGATCTAATCCCTTGAATCTATTTATCACTTCCACTGTATAGTCGTAAGGGATTTGATTTAAGTCATACCTGAATGGTCTAGTGGTTTTCCCTACTTTCTTCAATAAGTCTGGATTTGGCGGTAAGGAGTTCATGGTCTGAGCCACAGTCAGCTCCCCGTCTTATTTTTGCTGACTGTATGGAGCTTTTCCCTCCTTGGCTGCAAAGAATATAATCAGTCTGATTTCAGTGCTGGCCATCCGGTGATGTCCACGTGTAGAGTCTTCTCCTGTGTTGTTGGAAGAAGGTGTTTGCTATGACCAGTGTGTTCTCTTGGCAAAACTCTATTACCCCTTGCCTTGCTTCATATGTGTATATATATATATATGTATATGCCTATATATGAATTGTGATTATGAATTATGATTTTCCACCTGAAAAATCTCACGGACAGAGGAGCCTAGCAAGCTACAGTCCACGGGGTCACAAAGAGTTGGACATGACGAATGACTGAGCATGCACGCATCATACACTCATTGTGATTTCCTTCTCCAGGGATTTTCCCAACCCAGGGATCAAACCTGGGTCTCCAGCATTGCCAGTCAAATTCTTTGCCATCTGAGCTACCAGGGAAACCCTACATACACTCATACATGAGACAAATATATAATAAGAAAGAGATATGTAAAATCACATTTTTACTGCAGACAGCTCTGAAAAGCAGTAAGTTTTCTCTTTTCTTTCTTCCTTGAACTTCACTGTGAACTCAGGAGACATACTCCTAGCATTACATCTTACATCCTGAGTGATGCTTACAAGCTAAAGATGGCCTAGACCCCACCTTGGTAAGACCCATTGGCAAGGTACAGGTTGTTCCATCTGTCTTGCTGGTGTCTAGCAGATCACAAAATCACTTTCATGGTTTTATCATGTTTGCTCACTCACCCACCTTATGGATTCAATCCTATGAAAAATGTCATGGCATAGATTATTCAAGGCATGCCCACAGTAAAAAATGTATTTGGAATCTAGTGTTAGGAAACAATTTAATGACACTTTGCTGTTTCTAGTAAACTCTGATTCTGGTATTTAAAATATACATACTCAGAAAGTCAAGAAATGAACTACTGATGTCATAATATGACTGCTTCTGTTTGTTTTGTAAATGAACTTATTAAAGTGTCTCGCAAATTCAGCATTAAAAAAGTGGGGATTCTGTGGGAAAAGAGCATGGTAGAATTTTAGAATATGTTAGGATGTGAATACAGGCATCTCTTTGGTTAAAAATTTCATATACATGCATACATGCTGAACTTTAGAAACCCCCACCGCCCAGAGGAATGCAGAGGGAACCAGGGCACGAAGCGGCAGGGCTGGGGGCTGGTGGAGAAGCATTAGGTCATCTGCTTCTCCCTGCCACATTGAAATTATCCCCCATATGGAGGTTTATGTTTCTGTGGTTTGCTGAGGACTTGAGCTAGTTTAAAGTAATTTTCTTCAAGGTCCTCTAAGCCAGTTTAAAATTATTTTGTGAGCAATTCATTCTATCACATGTTTTAGCAAAATCTACCACAGTCTAATAAGCATCTGGATATGTTCTTTGAGATGCAGCTCAGAGTCTCCTTTCCTCAAATTTCAACTTTCTACCTCGTTGCAACAAAATATATTTGCCTCCTTGATGTTTAAATGTTTCCCAGGCACCAAGTGTTTGGAGCCAGTCCTGCTATACAATTCACAAGAGACTCTGAGATTCATGGTCTGTGTCTCCAGCCAGAGGTTTTACAAAATGAATTGAACATAAGGTGGTAATAAATAGGTCATGAAATGCTTGAGGGTTACAGCTTGTTTTGTTCTTTGCTTCAGTTTTAGTTCAGCCAGTACAAAGTATTTTTTGAGCGTCTATTATGTGAAAGACACTGGGTCAGGACTCTTTGGCCCTGGACCTTGCACAAGTTTTGTCTTCTTGTTCTACCCCAGGGGGATTACTATTTGTCTTACACACACCACACACACACACACACAATCTTCATCTCCATCTGCTTTTTTTCTTTTTACATTTGGTACTTGTTTAATGTTTTACATTCTGAGATCACAAGATTGACTTAGAACAGTTTTCCCAAACTTCCCAGTTGAAAATTATCACCTGAGGTATTAAAAACAAGCAAATAAATAAACAAAAATACAAGCAACAGTTCTTGGTGCATCTGAGCCAGTGTAAAATTATTTAAATATAAATAAAAGGGCTCACATATTCCATGACTCGATAGTGTTGAGGAAAAGACCAGGAGTTTCATTATTAGGAGTCAATTCTGTTCAGCAGATTAGCCTGAGAGGAAGTGGAGGAGGAGGAGATCGCCCAGGCCTTTTCTCCCTTTAACAGGTCGCCCTTCAGACAGTCCTGATGACTTCTCAGAGGCCTTGGTGGATCAGTTCCACCAACTCTCCTCTTCAGCTTCTGACCCTTATTAACCTGTTCTTGCCTTTGAACTTCCATAGCAGCTCTTTGCATCTTTCAGCAGTTTCTTTTGCACTGACTGCTTCAATCCCTCGAACTTTCATGTAAATCTTTAATTACATTTTAACGCTTCAAAAATTTTCATGCCTACTAAGACTATGGTGGACTCCTTAAGAGAAGGGGCAAAATTCTTCATTTGTATTCACATAACGCTTTGCACTCGGAGGAATGAGGTTTTATTTCTAATTTAATTTTCCCTTTAAATGTTAATATCTCACTGCACTGGTAAAGAATATATCTTTTCATTCCTTAGCCAAGACGCATACGGTCTGGGAACCCCAGTTTTAGTCTAGCTAGTGCAGCTGTTAGGTGCTCATATAACCCCCTAATCCTTTATAAAAACTCAATCGGACAGCTGGCTTGATAATATGCAGTTTCAATAACAGCCTCTGTTGAGGAAAATAATATCCCATTGTAGTAAGTCTTGCAGATTAATGATGTTTCCTTGCAAAAAAAAAAAGGTCTAATGGACAGGCAGGCTTTCTCTAAACTGGAAATCAAGCTACAAGCTGAAAAAAAAAAATCACCTTTAATTTCTGCTGTGAGATGGAAGTGTATTCTTTGGATTTAGCAACTAATGGTATCTTTGTTATATTAATGGTTTAATTAGACAGCTTCAGGGTGGTGTAACAGCTCTCTAAAGGACTTTTAACAAGGACGCTATTGTTAAAGCAAAACAGCTCTTTCATTTGAGCCATTAAAATTATAGGGGGAAAAATGAAAAATACACTGGCAGCTTATTTTTTAGTTCAGCTGCAACTTCTCCTGTTTAATCACCAAAAGCCTCTGCAAGGCAGTTCTTGTTTATACAGCAGTTTGATCTGGATCCTTGTAAAATTAACATAGGTTGACAAATTAAATTTAGCACCACCACCCTCCAGGACGTTGTAAATGTAAAGGAGACTAAAGTAAACACTGGGGATGTTATTGCAACAGGGCAGGGTGAAGTCAGACCCCATAAAACATAAAAATCTTGCTTATGAATATAATTTAGTACAAAGAATATCAACAGCTGACATTAATTATTTTTTATGTATACCGACATCACCTTTCATACATTACTGTGAAAGATGTACTTGTTTCATCACAGATTTTTCTTTTTTAAAACCAGAATTTACCAGAGATCTCTACTGGGTTCTTGAATTAAGCGGTTCAGTGGATTTGTACTATCACAGTTTAAAATCTTCAAGAATTCATAAAGTAAGCATCTTACATTGTTTGTGGTTAATTGCACTAGAACACTTAGCCTCTCTGAATTTGTCCTTTTTTGGAATTTGCAGCTTATGTCCCAATAGAATTTAACAAGAAAGACTCCTCAGCCTTGTCCGGATTCATTTAGAAGTACAAATAAAAAGACACTACAATTTTAAATGAGAAACGTATGTTTAAAGTCTGACTTTGAAAGAAAGAGAAACTATATATTATATAAATGTAATTAATCCAACATAAATATCTTCATTTGTAAACTGCTCAGTTTAATGAGAGCAATGAGGTTATGACAAAGAGGGGCATGAGAAGTCTGCTCTGATAGCGTCTCAGAAGGTAACCGCGTGCCCTGGGCTTTCCTGATGTTCGCCTGCCCTACTGTCTGGGTCAGGGAATCTCAGTAGGGAAACAAAGGCCCAAAGGGCCCGAGGCTTCCTTCCCTAGATCACAGGCAGCTCAGGCTGCCAGCTACACCTGCTCGAGTCTTCACTGGAGGATGCGAACACCCAGGGGCCTTAGAGATGCTGGCCAATGTTTCTGGCGGAGGTCGAGTCCAGGTGTGGCTGGCGGAGCTGTAGGGGCAGGTGTGGTGCCAAGGCCAGCGTCAGCATCCTGAACAGACTGTCCTGAGGTACCATCTTGGCTCTGCTTTGCCTCCTGTTTCCTCCATGTGCTTCTCACTAGCCTTCCTAACCACTCTGCGAACTGACATACATCCATTACATTCTTTTTCTGCTTAAATCTCCAGTTACCGTCTGTTCGGGCACTAAGAACCCTGACAATGAGCCCAACAAGCTGGGACCAGAATCTCTCCTGTGTCCTTGTGCCATAGATGATCAAGCTCTGGGGGCTGGGAAGAGCCCAAGAAATCGAGATGTGTGACTAGCATTATTTAGATAAACTTTTCCTCACTCCAAGTGAGGATATTTGAGATTACACAGAAGCATGCAATCTAAAAAGATTAAAAAAAAATAGAGGGAAATAGGAGGAAGCAAAAATAAAGACATTGGCATTTGGATCAGTTTGCTAAATGCATTACTTTATAGGGAGAAATGGAACTTGTGGGCATGTGAGCACACTCAGTTCAACCGGTTCTCACTTTCTCTTCCCCATAGGAGAGGCTTCCTAAGGACCCCAGAGAGTCAGAGGCTTCCGTGAATAAGGTGATGGATATGGAAATCTTAACAATGGAAACTCAGCTACCTTCAAGGGGTGGTCAGCAAATAATGGTCCTCAGGCTCCTCTGCCCTGGCATTGCTGCAGCTGATGAGTTCTTGCTTTTGGCTTTGCATTGTCTTTTAAAATCTAAATATATTTGGAAGTCATTTACTTCACCAAAATGTTCCCCAAACTTCAGTCATTCATATGCTATCTTCACAATCCTACTGTATTCATATACTACCTTTTTAAAATATTTCTTTTTCATATCTATGCTAAGTCACTCAGTCGTGTCTGACTCTTTGCTGCCCCATGGACTGTAGCCTGCGAGGCTCCTCTGACCATGGGATTTCCCAGGTAAAAATATTGGAGTGGGTTGCCATTTCCTTCTCCAGGGGATCTTCCTGATCCAGGGATTGAACCCATGTCCCTTATGTTTCCTGCATTATCAGGCAGGTTCTTTACCACTAGCACCACCTGAGAAGCCCCTTTTAATACCTCAGTACTATGACACCTTTATTTTAAATAGCATGCATAAGGGTAAAATCTTGTTCTGCTCCATCTTTTTAATGTTCATGAAAATAAATTCATAGTAGTAAAACGGTTAAATATCTTTGCTTTTCATGATGCAGAAAATTTATCAAGTAAGCTAGGATTTTACCTTGTTTAAAAACTTGTGCACAGAAGTTAACATTTCAGAGTCTTATCAACTATGAGATATCCAGATTTTGCTCTAACCCTTGATTTATAGTTTGGCTGAGCATAGATTTCCAGGTTTAAATCATGTGTCCTCAGACCTTTGAAGGCATTTTCCCAACATCTTCTATTATCATATTGTGATGCTGATGAGAAGTTAGAAGTCATTTTAATTTATATTCCTTGTAGTTATTATTTTTCCTCTCTGCAAGTTATGTTCTTTTAAGTTTTGGCATTCTAAAATACCATAAGACTACCTAGATTGCTTTTTTTAAAAATTCATTTAGCTGGAAATGAGCCCTTTTCATCTTAGCATCATGGTTTCTCAGTACCAAGATTCTTTTTGATAATTTCCTTCTTTTAATTTTATACGCTCTTTCTGAGACACCTGTTAGTTGGATACAGGACTTCCTGGATTGGATCTCAGTATCTGGGAGCTTTATCATCAGTGTTTGGTCAGCGAAACCAGAGCCTTTCTGTGTGTTCCCAGTAGACAGTGTTTTAATACAAGGAATAAGCATCAGGAGGGCCAGGGGGTGAAAGTCTGTTGAATTGTCACTGATTAGCTCAGTCTGCGATCCCAACGTGTGTGATTCTCCAGATGCTCACCTTGAAGTTGCTTCAGATCTCATGGGCACCTTCTGCTCCTGCGTCGGCCCATAGCTGTCTCCATTATTCCCAGGGAATAATGGCCTCTTCTCTTCTACCTTCCAAGTCACAGTTACCCACTCTAGGCTCTAATCTGAAACTCTGGGAAACATTGTTTCTGCTTCTTTGCGATGCAGATAAGTCCTTAGCAGGTGTGGTGAAGATGCCGAGGGGACAGACGCAATCCAGCAGAGGTGGCATCCCCTGAATCTGCCGTATACCAGCCGTGTGGCTGGGGGCTAATTCCTTAATTTCTTGATGCTTTAATCTTTCCAGCTATCAAACGGGAATGGGCTTCCTTGGTGGCTCAGCTGGTAAAGAATCCACCTGCAATGCAGGAGGCCTGGGTTTGATCCCTCAGTTGGGAAGATCCCCTGGAGGAGCATGGCAACCCACGCCAGTACTCTTGCCTGGAAAATTCCATGGACAGAGCAGCCTGGCAGGCTACAGTCCATGGGGTCACAGAGTCGGACAGGACTTTCATCTTCACTTTCATCCAGAGGGAATGATATCCCTAGCTACTTCAGAGGTTTGCTGGGAAGACTGATTGAAATAATGGACACAGTGGATGTAAATATGCATGTAGCGCATATTCAAGCGGTCTTAGTGTATGTTACTTGTTGTAATCTTTATTATGATATCTAATTATCTTTTTTATTGCATCTCCATTCATGTCATTTTGCTCTAAATTTTGAAAAGGTTTTAAAACAATATTTCATAGTACCTCTATTGATTGTTAATAGTAACAGCAATTTTAATCATCAAGGGAAGTTTTTTATTCAGGCATTTCTTTTCTTATAGTGTCTTCTTCTCTGTTATTAGTTCACTCCTTTTTAAAAAAAAATACGTTTATTTCAGTAAAGTATTAAGAAGATCAAGAGGTAAAATCTTGGTTCTAATTTGTCATTTTATATGGAAGTGACAGTATTGAATCAAAAACTTTAGACTAACAATTCTGTCTTTTTTGTGTTAGGTGATGTGCTAAGAACTTTACTTTCATACTCTCATCTAATTCACCTCAATCTTAAGACACAGGGACACAAGTAGTAACATCATCCCCATTTTTAGAGATGATAACCAAGGCTTACAGGGGTCAAGTGGCTTGCCGAAGGTCCCACAGCTAGTGACGGGTAGAGCTAAAATGTAAACCTGGATCTACTGATGACAGAGTTCAAGCTCTCCCACTGCTTCTGGATGGACCTCATTACTTTATTTTCTAAAATAATTTTATGTATTTGGTTTTGGCCGTGCTGGGTCTTTGTTGCTTCTCTCTAGTTGCGGTGAGCGGGCCGATGTCTGGGTTCGGTGTGAGGGCTTCTCTTGGTGAGAAGGCGATGCCTCTTCTTGGTGAAGGAGGAGGGTGTGGCAGCATTCTTGCCTGGAGAACCCGTGGACAGGGAGCCTGGCGGGCTGCAGTCCGTGGAGCAGCCGAGTCGGGCGTGGCTGGGCAGCTAAGACTTGCTGAGCAGCTCGGGCCCTGGAGCGCAGACCTCAGTAGCTCTGGCGCTGAGGCTCTGGGCGTCTGGGGCCCGAGCTCAGTAGTTGTGGCCCATGGGCTTAGTCGCTCCGTGGCCTGTGGGCGCTTCCTGGACCAGGGGTCACACTGGAGCCTCTTGCATTGGCCGGCAGAGTCTTTACCCCTGAGTCACCGGGGAAGCCCTGGATCTCATCATTTTAAACGGCTGCACGGTGTCCTCAAATGCGAGTGCAAGTGATTACCAACTCCTCTCTGATAAACACTCAGGTTGACTTTTAAAATTTGCTGCTATAAACAAAACTTAAATAAATATCTGTGGGCTATGGGAAAATTTTAATACACTCTTCCGTTATTGTCTAAAAATAAGTCCTAGAAGTGGATTTGTTAAGTCACAAATTACCCACATTATATGGTTTAACAAGCTGCCCTTAATAAGAGGTTGCAGCGATTCACACTTCCACCATCGCAGTGTGTGAATGTGCCTGCCCCACCGTGCTCTCTAATACCTGGTGTTACTCAAGTTTTGCCAATCTTATACAAAGAAGATGTTACTTCGCTCTTTAAATTTGCTTTTATTTCATTTTTGATATGGCCAAACAGTTTTTCATATGACTGTAGGTCATTTGCCTTTCTACTTTTGTGAATTAGCAGTTCATTTTCTACTCAAATTTCAACTGGGATATTGTCTTTAGCAGGTTTGCAAATACTTTTTAAGGACAGTCACATTTTGCCTGTTATTTATGTTGCAAATACGGTTCCCTGGGTCACTGTTTCTATTTTTACCTTTGCATATAATATTTGTAAAAGAAGTTTTAAGTATTTATGTAGTCAAATCTATTCTAAATTAGCTTTTACTTACATTCTTTATTTCAGTGGATGAAAGAATGAAACAAACATGAAAGCTGGCCCATTAGAAGTTTGGTTTTTTTTTAAAATCTGAGTTTCTAAAAGAATCTAACAACTCAACAATCTCTTGGCCCAACTTCAGGAAACCAGTGAATTATTTTAAGATGACAAAAGTTTTCATTTACACACTAAATATTTACCTAAGCCAACTTAAGAAGGATTTCCAACCAGGCTTGGATGAAAGCTACTAAGCTTGCCCTTCCAGCTTATATCTTGCTTAAAATGTGTGGTATTCAAGTTGGAGTTGGATTATGGGTGTTAACAGAGGCTGTTGGGGTGGGTCCTGGGTGGGTCGTCCCTATTCTTTAACTGTGAGCTTCCTTAAATGGTGTCCACTGCTGACATCAGAATCCTCACTGCCATTTCTACAGTGCTTGGCTCTTCGTTGCTCAAAGGATAAATGCCATTCAAATCATGACGGAGTTGAACTCAGATTTACAACACTACTGTTCACCAGGCCAAAGCCCCCAGGACTCGGGAGGGCAAGCGGGAGCTGAGCTGCACGGGATGATCTTAAATGAGGCTCCAGGTTCAAGGGCTGTGAATTAGGCACAGGCTCCGATTCCAGGCTCTGAGAGCTCCCATCTTTCAACTAGAAGCCCCCCTCTGGACCCTCTCGCCTTCCTTCTCCGGACAATCAGAACTTCCTTCGCATGCCCACCACAGCTGTCTCCCTTCTTGTACTTCCTTCTCTCTAAGATACCAGACAAATACTTGGAAAGAGGTAGCTTTTTCTTCAAAGTCTAAATTCTTAAAAAGGAAGAATGCAAATTCTAACTTCCTTTTCTTTGGAACACCGCGTGGACCTCAGTGCCTTTGCAAGTCTTCCTGAGCCGCCGTCTAGAACTGTTCTCCATTGTGTTCAGTTGTCGCTGACCTTGTAGCCTCACACCAAGCCGCCTCGGCTCCTTTTCTCGTTCCTCTGCTCTATGAGATTCTGGTCTTCTGGGCAGAACTGTGAGCGACTCATCTCTGCATCCGTAGCACTTAGCACAGTGTCAAGCGTACCGTAGGCACTCCATAAATGATCTATGTTAGAATGATGGATAATACTTGATTCCAACAGGTGGCTATGACCTTGGCTTGGGGCAAGTGGGAATTTGGAGAAAATGCATGTGAAGATAGTCATATCCCAGTTGGAGATGTATCAGATAGTGGTTTAAAGAGGGAAAATGGTGATCATCAGATAATCCTCCTTAGGAAAGGACAGTGATTAAGATATAGAGTGCCTGACTATAGAAGAAAGGATTATGTCTAGAGAGGGGGCTAAGCATGTATGTAACCAAACAATGCTCAGACCACTATGTCAATCGATCAGTTTACTTGAGTTTCATTAGTTAATCTTACTTATAAGATTATGTAAAATAAGATGGCACTGGTATTTAGCAGACCAAGAGTTACTTGAAGACATCTGAACTCCAGTATAATTAACCAACCCTGAAATTCATTTAGATATCTCAAAAGAATTTTTTACATGCCAAAGGTTCTTGTACTTTGCCTTTTCTAAAAATGATCAAAATATGTTGTAGCAATTTTAGAGGAATGGGTGTGCTACTA